TTTTCAGTACTACTTGTGTTTTCCATTCTCAAGAGAAGCATTCTTTTTAATATTTGTATACTTACTGTTGTTAGATTTAATATTGGCCTTAATGATGTAAGATGCCTCTTTATACGCTTTGTTCCTAGCTTTAGACATTGTCTTTAAATTATGTTAACCACCATTGTATACTCATTGTTTTCACCTTTAAATATCGGAGAGAAAGAGAGAGAGCACATACAAAAGCATAAGCATTAGCCTGCTGCTCCACACTCACTTACCATGACAATACTCCTGTGCATGGCTGTGGCCATGAGAATGTCCATGTTCGTGCCCATGCTTGGATTCATGGCTGTGACTGTGACCATGGCCATGCCCTCCATGACTATGACCATGGCTTAAAGACCCGTTAAACAGGGAATGACTGTGCTCATGACCTGTAAGAAGATTAGTTGGTATTATCTGGAGAGTTTCACTGTGATTAAAGAACACTTCTCAGGATTAGGCTTTCCACTTGACTTGCAGCAATTAAGCCACGGTTTACTGATACAGACATCACAACAAACTGAAGTTTAATAAGTCAGGTACTGTATATACACTGGAATAAATGTAGGGGGAGTACAGAGGCTTTATCTCAGGCTGATAAAAGACGGCTGGAGACAGTCAACACCAGTTAAAAACAAAGTAATTTAGTAACACCTTTAAAAGTTCATGTCTGGAAAGAATCGTACATATTTTCTTTATTATAAACCACTGCAGGCTTAACCTGCAAGCACTAGGCTCCCACTGTGCATAAAGCATCTCCCGTTATTAATGCATTTCCAGATTGTAGCATATACACTTACTGAAAAATATAACCTTCATGCAAAAGGAAATGAAACATGAGCCTGTCAAGTCATGTTCTGTTGCAGAACCTACACAGAAAATCTATAGAGAAAGCATTCTCCAGCACTGACTTATAAAGGACTGTCCCAAATAGTCATTTGCCATGCATATGATTTTTTTCCACATTCCCCCAAAAACCGCAGGGACAAAAAGCATCCCAAGGAATTTATTGCTGTTTCCATTGGTGCTCTTTTTTTGTCCCCAATAATGCAACACACTGGAACCAAAAATAATCCTGGTGCTATTTTTCAGTGAACCAAGAGATGGCAAAGCAGAAATGAAATGATGCCAAATTACTGATTGCCAGTATTTTGGATCCACTTCACTGGGATCATAAAACATCATATATCACCAGTGAACTTTTAAAAAATCTGCTTTAATTTTACCTTTTTATTCCTCCTATTTTCTGGCTCTGAGATTTGAATGGCACATATTTGATCCTGCATGCACCAATACCGCTTTGGACAGGGGCATTTTTATACCACACAGTAAACCAACATTCTTATTAGGGTGATGAGTGACATAGCACTTGAGGTTTAAAACCGTCTGTGCTCAATTTTAAAAATTAATTTCATATTGTATGTTTAGAAAGCAGTAAAATCTAATATTAACATAAACAGTCACATGCAACACAGATCTTACACTGCTCAATAAAAACAATTCTGTGTACTCAGTATCATGCCCAACTTCATGGTACTTTAACTACAGGACAGACATTCACTACAATACTGAGCCCTACTCATCTTTTACTATGGTATTCCAATATTGCTATGGGGACTGGGAATTGTTGTGTAGCTGCAGGATAAGTATAGGCAGCCCAATGCTGTCAGGAGACCTCAGACTACAGCTCCCATCATCCAGCCAACATCACAAATGGTGAGGGGTGATATATGCAGATCAAAACATTCAGAGGGAACCAAATCACATACCCTACTCTTGGAAGTGGATAAAGCTTCATTTTCCTATAAAAATGGTAAAAAGTATTCCAAGGTTTTCACCAAGCTCCTTAAACAGAAATAATGCTTGCAATGCTGCAGCATAAGAGGAGATTCAAATGAGCATACATAAGGAAAGTGCAAGATATCCAAAAGCGTATCAGAACTGAATTTTATGTATTGGTGAACTGCATTGGGCCCTCTGCTGCAACTTTAAACAGAAGTATCTAATAAAACTAGTAATAGCTTAAGTATCTTACCAGAGCCATGGGAGTGGCCATGTCCACCATGTTGAAACACAAAAATTCCTATAAGGTTTACAAGAAAGCCAAGTATGGAAACAGGAAGAAGCCTTTCATGATGCACATCTGGAGGCTCAAGAGCTCTCTGCAACAAGAGCAACAAAGTAGAAATTTTCAGTGCAATTCATTTACACCCATCAATGATTAACTTTGTGATGTTCCTAAACATCAGTTCTATATAAAACATGATGTCATTTATTTTAATACGGAGGCTGAAGTCAGTAGATCAGTAATATTTTTCTCTAATGGCTAACAGTCTCCATCTCCCTTAATATGGGGGCTCGGAGTCACTGAGTAAAACTGTCTTCCAGAAAATTATTCTGGACAGTTGAGGACAGATTAAGTACTTCTTCACACAGCACATAACTGATTTATGGAATTCACTTACAAGAAATGTAGTGATGGCCACTTGTTGAAATGACTTTAAATGAGCATTGGACAAGTTAATGAAGCCAAAAAGGACTTCTTAACTAGTCACATTGGTTATGTTTAACTTCCAGGTTCATAGTGATATTCAAAACACACACAAAAATTGCAGATAAGAGCCGAAATTAAAGGTGTGTAGATTTGTGTTTCTGGGCTACAACTTCTGCTGGCGAACACTGTGGGTTACTGACCAACTACACAAATGTGCACAATTCTAACCTAAATCAAAATGGTACAAGAACCTGCTGCCAAAACTCCTTCTCCCCTCCACACTGCAGCCTGCCGTGCACCTCAGAATCCTGTTTCAGAAGACTGGAAAACTCTAGAGCTGTAGGTTATTTTGGGGGGAGGGGGAATGCTAGGAGCTGATGAGAAAATTCTGTCATGCTAGCACCATAGAATCAATGTAAAGATGGATCTAGGTTATATTTCATGCTGATCCCAATCTGTTTCCCCATTTCTATTTTACTGATTTTTAATTTTAGTCACCAACAACTTGGCACATGCCAAACACAATCACACAAAATGTACATCTCAACAAATGTCCTTAATTAATGCTGAAATCTTGAGTATTTATCTGCCCGACAGAGAGCCACAATGAGCACTGTGGAACACATTTACATGCAAATATCTACCAAAAAAAATCTCTATTGATCAGGGAAAAATATTTATAGCCATCTTCATTACCTACCTCAACACCTTCAGAAAAAATGAAGAAAGCTGTAAAGATTAGAAACAGACCATTTACAAAACCAGCTAGTACTTCTGCCCGAACATACCTAGGAAATCAAGAAAAGCAGGACTTAATACAACTCTGGCTTAGACCAAGACCCTCAGCCATTTTCTCCAATACTTCCCCTGCCCCCAATAACTGACAAACACAATGGCAGCCTGTGATTTGTTAATCTTCCTTTGAATGGTACTCAGGGGGAGAAGAGAATCAGAATTGGTGTTGCTTTTTCTGAAATGCATAAAGCTTCACAGAACAGCTGTGACATACCAGAAGACTATTATATTTCTCACTTTTTCTGTACGGAAAGCACACCTTTCTGCATTACTTTTAAACCAGCTAATGCTATTTTTTGAGTGAGGAAACTCCAGGCACTGGCAAATGATTCTACAAGCAGCACACAAGGCTCAGCTGTCATCCGAAAATCAATGACAGCACTTACTATGGGCCAATCTTTCCATTTCCTGATCGTGGAAGCCTTTCTCAACTGCCCAGTACAGAATTTAGATTTTGTTTGTTGCAATCCAACACCACTTACATAAACCCAGAGAACAGAACCAGCTTAAAGCAGCATGCAAACGTTCCTACTCATTTGGCAAATCCTACTCAAAGAAGGATGTGTTTATTGCTCTTTATTTTTTACTGAAGACCAAAACAGATGTATTTGTGTTTTCCAATTTGAAAGCCAGTTTGGCAAGGCCTGCTATCACTAAATGGAACATGGATAGGACAAATGAAAATTCACCTTTCTTTAACACCACAATGGTCTGCTGTTTAATTCCACCCACCACCACCCCGCCAGCAGACTCACTTCGGGTACTACAGTTGAGTGTGGAAGTAACACGGTGGAACAGGGGAGGATAGTAGCTGTCTCTTCCTCGCTTATCCTTGTTTTATATTCAAACTAACGAAGATACATTTAGCAAAAAGGTGTGCATCTTTAAACCACAGAGGGGGTGGCCACTAAATGCAAAGAAACAGAGAAACAGCTAGTGGATACTGCACATCGCCTGCTCAATGTCCATTCTTGTCTGTTAAGATTACACAGCAACAAAGCTGAAAGTCAGCTACCGATCCTGTGCCCCAACTACAATACTGCCTAATTTAACAAAACATACACCAGATTTTGCAACACAGCAAGAGGTGTTAATAATGGTAATAACAATAAATTATGTGCCATCAAGTTGACTCCAACTTATGGTGACCTCTTCCAGGGTTTTCTAGAAGCCGAGCACTCAGAAGCGGTCCACCATTACATTTTTCTGTGGGTGCTCCCAGACTGTACCGCTTGCCCAAGAACACACAGACTAGCTCTCCTCCTGAGAGTCACAGCACGGAATTAAACCCCTGGCTCCTAGCTCTCAGTCAGGTAATCCATCTCAATAAGCCCTCTAAAATCTTCTCAACTCAAGCATTTCTTTAGTAAAATACATCACAGTGGAGAATTTTAATCATGTGATAAAAACAAACTCTGAACACTACAAACAACTAGCTAACATAAAGTATATATGTGAAATAGAAACGTTTACCTTTTAGACTCTGCCAAAATAAATTAACTACTTTGCACAGAATTAACCACTCAATGAATGCATGCCAATATATTGTCTTTTAAGAGAATACTCACTTTCACTTATATTTTACATGTGTTCCTACAACATTCACCTACTGTAAGATTTCTGTTACTGATGCACAAAAAACATTCCACAATTAGCCTGTTAAAGCACATGTAGAAACCACTACCATTTTCAAACCTAAGAGCTATATATAGGACAGTTCAGCTTTCTATAACTCTGGACTGGACAGTTATGACATATGAGAATATAGTGATACAGCACTCCCCACAGTCTACAGCAGCCATGAAGTATAGCCTTTCTCTCTAACACAAAGGAAAGCTGTGGGCATCAAGCAAGCCAGAAGGACCCTAGCAAAAATGACAGCAACACTACCCACTGTCACATCTTTCTGGCAACTTGAATCTATACTAAATATTGATCATACAACCTGAAGGAAGATAATGGCAATTTCAGATGTTTGGAAGCCACAACACAATCTTTAACACTGACGAATCACATCAGGATGAACTGACATCTAAGCAGTTTGACGTTAGTTCAACCAATTTTTTATTACACCTGTGAAACAAGAACTTCTGGCTCTCTGCCCCAAAGCAGCACTATCTTAAATTTAAATCAGTCCAGATATTTATTAACTCCATTCACTCACTTTAACAGAATGACTAATCTTAAAACTGCTTTGACATTGTATTGTAATAAAACTGCACCATCTCTCATTCATTATCAAAGAATATATGATGCAACAAAGAGCACATCTTTGTTCTACACAGCAAAACTGCTTACTGTGAGCCAGCTACAGCCGGCTGGGGGGAAGGAGGTAAGTGCCAGCGTGGGCAGGCCCCCTCAGCAACGCAGAAAGGTTGTTGGCCTTGAAGGAAATACCTGAGGCAGAGGAGGATGGAGGCCCTAAACCCTCCCCCAGGGAAACAGCTATAGCTGAGGTAGATATAGAGGCGAGTGAGCAAGGAGAGAGGAAGGAGGAACTGGACATTTGGGAGGACGCCTGGGAGTTTCTGTCACCTTCAGAGAAGAGAGAAAATAGTCTGCCGGGAGAGACGCTGAAAGGAGCTTCTAAGAGGCCTGCCTCAATGGAGGACAGCTGCCTTATTTGAAAGCAAGTTGAAAGCTGAAAGATAGAAGCTCCCAGGGTCAGCTGGTGCTGCACAGCCTCCTCTGCTTGCCGGACGCTGTGTTGGGGGACTCGGCTGGCAAAGACTGTTGAACAGTCTGGACCTTTCAGCCAAGATGAGTTGCCACTGGAGTGAAGTAACTCCCTCGGAACTGGGAGCTGAGACAGAATATTCTCTATCAGCCCTGGAAGGACTGGAAGGCTAGAAAGCTAACAATTCCATCCCTGCTGCTTGGGGCTAGAGGCCCCATCCTGCAAAGGACTACAGAGACACTGTTTTTCTTTCCTTTTCTTTGTACGCGGAGTCCAATGAAGCTTAACTGATCACCAGTAACTGCTGCCTCATCATGGATGCAGCGGCTGGGACCACTCACACTTACCCATAAGAAAAGGCATCATTTGATCTCCACTTTGAAATTACAGATGCTGCCAGTCCAGCTAAGAGTGCAGTACAGTCAAAAAACATGTGAAACGAATCGGATATTAGACCTAAACTGGAAAAGCAAAGAGAAAAATAAAAATTCAATTAAGTAAAGAATGTACCAGGAAATCCAATGTGCTAGAAATAAATATGTTAAATCCCTTTTGCTGTAATAACTATGTTCCTTTGATTCCTGGGGATTATAAAATATCAGCTATTCATATTTACTGAAGGACTACATTATCTTTTATCCCCTCCTAAAAATTACCTCTCAACACACAGAGATAATTATATGCTACAGTGAATATATAATGTGGATTGAACCTTATTAAGCTACCTACCATTCAACTGAAGGACAAAACCAAAGAACCAACCCTAGCTAATAGGGCTACAAACTATCCACACAAAATACAGGGGAAACAACTGAGTTTGCGAAGGCATACTGTAATTCACGAAATCATGGCAAATTCTTTCCTGAAGAAATTCTTTTAATAAATAATCAGCATTGAGCAAAGTGGAGATAATTATTCTGAAAACCCAACCACACAAATTTATATTTATTCCACAGTCATTTACCATTACAATATTCTTGTAAGAACTTTAATTCCTGTGCTAACATATATAATTATTATTTATCATATTTACAAGAACACTTTCTGCCAAAAGACTCAAAGTTACCTGCAACAGTTTAAAAACAGAGATGCCAGGATCCTGTAAGTATTTATATAAAGTTTGCTTAGCTTGCTGTGTTTAGTTGTGGCTTACTAATGAGGTGCTGGGGCACATCTCAGCTGTGCAACGGAGAATGTGACTAGGCGCAGCACAGACAGAGCAAGGCACCTTGTAACTGGCTGCAATTATCTGCACCAAGTTATGCAAACCTTAAACAAACACCAGTAAGATTCCGGCCAAAGCCAACAAAACAAATGTTAGCACTGAAATTGTTAGAACTACAACAATTTTCAGACAGTGGGTTCACAAAGTCCAATGTACTTCCATAAGTCCATTCCAGTGGTTCCTAGGGATTACAACATGTGAATAAATTATGATTGTTGTTTATTTTTAAACATTATCATTAGTTTTAATATTATAAGCCACCCTGGACCCTCATTTAGAGAAAGACAGGTTATAAATAATAAAA